CTCATCTGTATTTATAGATAAAATTTGTACTTCTTCTCGGCCTTTTTTTTGCTAGACTGACTAAATGAAGTATTTTTCATACTCTGCAGTCTCCAGTCAGCTGATCACCCTTGCAGCCTTTCTCTGCAGCTGCTCCAGTTTGAAATTTCTCGTGTGTCTGTTTTTAACTGTTATAATGAGAATTATGTATAATGTTCCAGATGTGGTCTCAGGGTATTGTACAATGGCACTGTCTCTTTCTCTTTCTGCTCCAACGAGCATGTTCCAGAATTGCATCTGCCCTCTTCACAGCTGTCTCACCTTGATGAACCTGACTGTTAGGCAGCTCTGGTTTGGAATAACTGTTACATGGGTTGTTTGGTACAATCTCTTTATTAAACTTGAACTATAACCCATTTTTCCATTAACAATGTTATCTAATATTCCTTTCATTTTTTGTATGCTATTTTAGTATAAATTTTGCATGTTATTAAGATTGTATATATTCATCTGTGCCTTCTCTCCTGAAAAAAACATTGGCAATATGGTTGCTGTTCCCCAGTCATTACAGAAGTGATATTTTCTTTAAAGTTTTTGCTTTCAAAAGGACAATCTTATGTGTCACTATTTCATAATTCTGAGAAATGCATTATTTTTTTACTGCATTAGCTTTAACCATTTTTAAAGTGTTCCTATTCTCCATTTGTCATTGTTTTCATATCTGAGACAACATAGATAAGGATTATAGTGGAGGTTGGGGGTTCATTCCTGAATATCTTTAATCTTCATCCCGTTGTCCCTAGTTGGTATACACATTTTCTTCTTTTTCCTACTTAGGTACAAAAAAGCCTTTAAAGACTAACTTTTCTTGTATAATAACCTATTCAAGTGTAGCTTAGCTTTACTTTTTACTATGTACCTAAGATGCAGCTTTCTGTGCTAATTTTTCTTTCTCTTCTCTCCCCTCTCAGTCCCCTGCTACTCTTGATAGGATCTCTGCGTGTTTCTGATGTCTTACTTGCACAGTGTTATCAATGATTAGCTTGTCAAACATCAAGTTTTACCCCTTCAACTTGAGACGTGGATCCTTAAACGTTTTAGCATCTTTGTGTTAAATGCCAGGCTTCTTCTGTATCTCGGATGTCTTTGCTAACCTTCACTATCAAATCATTTGGGTGTATGCTGCTGAAATTCAAAGACCTAGTTATAAACCCATTTGGGATTTTTCATTCTTTATTTAAATAAAAATCCGGTAATATATGGATTAGGTTACAAGCAGCTGTTTTATAATGTCCTCATTAGTTAGTGAGAACAGTCTTGAAGTAATGGAGTCGTTTCTTGCTTCAGTAGCTATTTCATAAATTTATCAACTATTAGTTCCAAGAATAACTAAGCCCTTCCACTTAAGAGTTTGATTTCTTCTCCGCTTTGTGTCTGGGTAATTAGTCTCCTAAAATGATACAATTCAGTTTATTTTTATCTAACGTTAAAGATCTGCATCTGTATCAAACACTGATGCTGGAACAAGTGCCCCATTAGTCTCATGTCTTTAACAGAACCTGTTTTACCTACTTCCCTTCCCCAAAGGATTTGACCCAAACAGATTTCTATTCTTGTTATCTGTTATATTTATTCGTTTGACATGTCACTGACACACGTGGTTCTACTCTTCAGTTCTGTTTTGAGTATTGCTTATTCCTCAGTACTTGCATTCTTAGTCATGAGTGCTGTCTCACCATGCTGTGGTTACTCTGTCATGTTTTGTTCTGCACCATGGGCCAGTAATTTAAGCCTCCAACACTTACAAACAGACACAACCAGATAATTCATGATACTCATAAAAGGTACAGCTTGATTTTCATCATCCTGTCTCTTGGTAGTTTTTTATCCATTCTTCACCGTTTTCAATAGCGTATTAAAAACAGGTGTGAAAATGTCCCTGTGAAGTTTAAAATTCTCTGTGTCAGTAATGCAGGCTGTATTCTGGAAGAGTTGTTTCCACAGATGCTTGAAGCTGACTTTTCAGAAAATCCGTTTTCAGATGATCTACCTCATGGTTTCTAAAACCTTCCTGATAATACTTGTGCCTGAGCTGCTTGTTTATCTTGTTATGAACGCATATCTTCAGCCATATTTCAGGGGAACTTGGAAGAATTAAGTTAGTTTGGGAGACCTGTTTGTCACATGCTGTTCCTCCTGCCCATTGCCTCCTTCCTCTTTCTTCCCTTCCTTCCCCCATTTGTTAAGTAAACATTTAGTTGGCAAGTTTTCATTTTGTTATTAACATCCCATCTCACTTTGCTGAAGTGTCTTAGTTGTTTTGATTTATAGTCAAAATATTTCTTGGACCCAGGGAAACTGCTCTGTGTGGCTTTAGAAATGCAACCTTTTCTATTCAAAAGATTATTTTTGGTTTAGTGTGGATAATCCCACACCAGTGTACTTTTTTTTTTCCTCCATTGGATACAATTGCCTAGCCTTTCTTTATTAGAATTATGAATATTTTTCCATCATACTTTGTTTATTGTTTGTATTATGGGAAACATGCAACCATCCAGTCCCCTTGATTGCCATAATGCATAAGAAACAGGGATGATGTTGCATGTGTACGAAAGGCATCCAAAAGCATCAGACTCTCATGTGTTGCTTTAATTCTTACAAGTGTATTTGTCTTCTGCTATCTTGCCCTTGAATCCTGCACTAGTACTCCAGGCTCTTATATTTTTGTTGCATAGACTTCTGCTATTTTGTACACGTTTAAGGCATTTCTTAATAATCAAATCCCCTCCCTTTCTGTCTTCTGCTTAATGTTTCTTTTAGCTCTTGCATGCTGAATCTTAGTGATTTACTGACCCTGTGCCTTCTCTCTGCTACAGAATTCCTGAAAGTCTTAAATGCTTGAAGGCTGTTAATGTAAATTCAGTCTATCTGTAAACTGTACATAATAAGGTATATGTTATGATCATCTTCTTTCTAGAATGACTTGTAAATTCAGTGCTTCTGAATTTATTATGTTCCATAACTTTTGTAAAGTGCTTTATGATCACAAGTTTTTAAAAATTGAACTTCCATAGGCTCTTCAAACTGTAAAAAGTATACTCTTCTTTTTACATACAGAGAAAGAGGAAAGGGATTGTATGAGGTAGATTCCTGTGATTTTGGGTTTGGGTTTTGATGCCTAGGTCTTGTTGTTTGGGCAGGGTCTGTGTGTGTCAAGGGTAGAATAGATGTAGTAATGTGAGGGGAGGAGGATATTATTTGTCATTTTCCTTCTCTCTTGAGTAAAATGATGGACAGACCTGGACATTCTTTCTTCCAGTGACATAATCACAGTTAAACGAGTACTAGAGAAGGCCGCTCTGCCAAATGAAATATGACTTTAAATTATCCATATAGTTCCCTGTCTACTCAAATCCAATTTACTGATAGGAAAAAAGCTAAACTGATTACTCTGTTCTGCATTCCTATAAGACATCAGGTGAGACTCCATATGACCTTATTTACCTTGCTTATCCACAGGTGCTCATTCTCTTTAACTTGGTGACCTGCCTTTCGTTTCCTCAGTCCCACCAACACACACATTGTACAATTAAGGTAGTGTGATTCATTTTTAGATTTACATGCTGGGTACGTTCAGTGCAAAGGACGCTCAGTGCAACACTAAAGCTTTAGCTACTGTAACTTGCTGAGGCACTTGATGTCATTTCTTATTCTTGAGAAAACCCTCTGGCAGTTTGCAGTTACTATTAGCAGCCTCAAAATTTGTATTTGGGATAAGAAAGCTCTGAGCTTTCACACATGCCCTGTACACCCTTTTCAGTCTTCCCACGCAAACCATATGACCAATCATGTAAATTTTTCACTTAGGATGGTTAAGGTTGCACTGGAATAAAATGCCAAAAGTACACCTGGGTTTAAAAACAGAAAGTAGGCTAACAGTTTTATATGCATCCTCTACACCTGCTTTGTGCTCTTTAATCTTGCAATTTACTGAAAATTGCTTTTAAATTAGTATTTTTCCAGTGTATTATCTCTTCCCAGATGCTGTGACTCCTATAAATATGCATACCAATTGACTAGCTCCTTTATTGTCTCACTGCATTTATATTCTTTAATTATCCAGGAAGGTGTCAAAGTTAATCTCTGTGGAGAACCTTCTACTGATACATGGAATGTAAAAGGAATGTGCAGTCGTCATCTTATGAGGCTATGCACTTTATTTGCCTTGCTGGCATTAGAAACATCAACTTCAAAATCAGAATTAATTTATAGTGGCTTCCGGCAAACATGTTTGCTTCCATTGTGAATAGTTTGCTGCATATTTGATGAACGATGTGCTTTCTTCAGGTTGTCACTTGTAAATGTTCAAAATGTTCAAAATTCAAATCAAACCTCAATTTTAGTGCCTGCTGATGGCAACATAATGTAGAGTGGAGCTACGTTTTCTTGTTGACCTTACCAATGCTGACTACCTCCCATGATTCTCTCTGGTCTAGTGGTATATTTTTACTATAGCCTCTTCCATTTCCTGTAATAGAAATTGATATTATAGGAAAGTAACCTGCATCGGTACTGAGTTGCTTTCTTTCGTGACTTACATGTCAGATAACTATCATCTGAGCCAGTTAATGGAAAATACTTTCCTTTCTCATAAAAGTAGTAAAGATTTTCTTCAGTGAAGTCGTCTCTTTTCTCTTCAACATATGAAGTACTGTTTTAGTGGTCCTGCTAATTTCTCTAAGCTATATTGTCTTGCTTAACTTTAAAAAAAAAAATTTAAATCCTGCCAACTATTGTTTCTGTCTAGTTGAAAAGGCTATCCTGTAAAAAGCACTGTTACTTTGATGACGTTAGATATCTGACTTTATCGTAATTACTTCATGAAATAATTATTTAAATTAACACTGTCTTTGAAGTTATGTTTTCTCCAGTTTGGTGTGCTGTTGGCTATCTTTAAAAATGTTTTGCTTGAATTGGAATCTCTTTTCTTTCTCTTTTAATTTCCTTTCCCTTTTCATTAGATTACTGTTTACAAAAGTCAAATTGGAGTCCCTGTGCAGAGGCCCAGATGAAGCACTCCTTACCTGTAAACACATGCTCCAGATTTGGAAATCCTGCTACAATCTCACTAACCCAAGGTAAGATGCTGTAGAATTCTTGGCTGCTCGATACCTTACTCAGTAGCCTTTCAGGGCAGTATTAGGTCAGCAGTCCTGCTTTTACTTGGTCTGATATTTCGTATGAACAAACTAATCCCCTGCGAATCTCCAGACTGAAGTGCAAAGATACCAGTTGATGGACATGCAGAAACTACCCAGAGTTGTGTGAAGCAAGGTATACCAAAGCTAATAAACTCTGCAGTGTTAAGGACTGATGACAGAGATTGGGTAACTGCCATTCTCCTTGATGGGGCTGAATATACTGGTATTGTCTTGATTTTTTTTTCCCCAATCTGGATTATAGGGCCTTTTATATTGGCTAGTGGAGAGATTGCTGTAGTGGAAATTTAGTTCAAGGACTTTCACTAAATAAAATGAAGGAGGACTAGATGTTAATTAAGACTATAGAAACATCAAAGGTCACATGGATAAATATGATGTGCTTGCAGCCAGCATGGCTTTTTTTTAAAGGGAGGTCTTGCTTATGAACATATTTAGGCTCTTCAAAGGCATTAGCAAGTATTTGGATAAGCTGATGTAATCCTATTGGGGTTTCCAAAATGCTTCTGTGAAGGCCCTTTGCTATATATATTTAGATAAGCTGTGAAATAAACAGGAAGGCCACTTTGCAGAAATCCATGCTGGTACTATTCAACACCTTTATCAAGTACCTGGAGAAGAGGACAAGCAGAATTGCCTGCTATCTGGTTGTTTGAAGGGCTGACAGTTTCTGGAGAAGAGATGCTGCAGCAGAAGAGCTTTGTACCAGGTGGCATCAGATACCTGTATAGCAGTAGGATGAATATTATCTAGTCATCTTTTGCTCTTTGTTTGATATCAGTTATATAAAGAGAGAAAATTGCTTCTCTCCTTAGCGAGCTAGTGAGCAGTTCAGGAAAGTCTGGAGGGTGTGGCAGGAAAAGCCTGGGAAGGGACCCAAGTCAGTCACAGCGCATTGCGGGAGACTCTGATACTGCGCTCCGGAGCAGGAGCAGGACTCAGGGGTTATAGAAAGCAAGTATGTCAGCAACCAGAAAGGTTTGAGCTGAATTATTTTCAGCTCAAAGTCACTGAACTAGCAGCAGGGACCTGGGAGAGAATTTCTCTTCTAACTTAGTGGGTGGTGGTTTATTTTAGTTGGCTGGTTGTCTGTGTGGGGAGGGGAGTTTATTGTCAGAATGCTGTGCTGTGCAGAATAGTTACAATTTCTATGGAAGCTTGATTTCAGTGAGGTTTTGCATGTACTCCAGCACAACTTTTCACCTTCCATCTCTGCTGTTACATCCTCTACACTGATCATGGCTTGTCATTACTGTTTTGCTGCTGTTGTTGTGCTAAGAGCTACTGTGCCATGTTAAATACACATTAAGTAATGCTTCCTTCAGACATCAGCAGTGACTGTGAAAACTTACTCTTGGCTGTGTCAGCTTCAAACAGCAATGTTTGCTAATTCTCACATCACTGTTCTCCTTCAAGAACATCTAAGTGGAAAAAAAAATGAGGACTACTTTGCATCTGATAGTTTTTACTGTTTTTTTTATCTTGACATTTAAAGCTTTTCTTAAAGGTCTGGTTTATGGTAACAAATTAAAATCAAATTAGGAATGGAATGGACAGGAGCTGTGGATAAGTGTCATGATGGAAGGAGACAGGTTTCATGAATCACGCGTTCAGAGTTATATCAAACAGTGAATATGAATACTAAGCTGTAACCTTTCTTTGGATGGTCCATGTGAAATTTAAGGGCTGAATACCTTCATATTGTGATTCACTGTGATCCAGATCTGTTGGACTGGAACAACAGTTATCACTCAGACCTGAAATGTGACTGGGAAGTTCTATTCACTCAACTGCGCTCCAGATGTAGTAAAGAATGATGATGCAGAATTGTTGTGAAAACTTAAATTTTCCAATCTCTGTAATTTTAACACACACTTCATTTTATTGAACAGCATCATCTGAAATCTCATCAGTCTCAGTCTCCCACTGGAAATAATTGAAGCTTTTTTTAGTAGTTCTTTAAGCCAATAATAAAAGGTCTTTCAATCATTTGAAACCTTTTTAGAATGTTGTTTTTCAAAGATTTAAGTATCCTTTATGCTTCTTTGAAACATCTTTTTCTGTTCTGGTTTAGACTGAAAACTAATTTTGATGTAGCATTTTCCCAATGACATAAGAACTCAATTTTTTGATAAGCTGTGTTTTATGTTAAATATTTCTTCTTGCAATTAATCAGATTTTATGGAGCAAACTTGGGTTCAGTGTCCTCAATAGTCTTTTAATAATGAAAATAAATCATGTGTAACTAGATATACCACACAAAATAAAGGCTAAATGCAAGACTGTGCCTTACCTTTGTTCAGCTTATTTAGAACAATTTTCTTTTGACTTTAATTGGCATAGAACATTTTCCTCATGAGATGGTCAATATGAATTTAAAACATTTTGTGGTGCAAGGCTTGGAAGGTTTAAATGTTTATCTTCAGCCTGCTGCTTGAAGTTCATTAGAAAATAGTTCAATTCTTTTCCAGTTCTTAGTTTGCATTAGGAAAACAGAACAAACCACAATGCCAGTGCTGTGCTTAGAAGATACTTCTGCTAAGCTTGGCTCTCCGCGTCAGCAACATTTGGCATGTTATTGCTTGTGGATTGAGGAAGTAATTAATACAGCGGTTACCAGAAAATATGCACCAAATGAAGTAACAACTATAGCTGATAGTGTGTGTCCCAGAAAGTTCCCTTCTGTTTCCTGTGGATTTCTAGAACGGCATCATTTTGTAAGGAAATCAGTCATGCAATAATGTTAGGGTAATGCACAATTTTATTTATACCATTTTAGTGACAGCTGTACAAAGAGAGGAAGTTGTTTCACTGGTTTTTGAAGTGTGCAACTGTAAAGAGTTGCAAAAGGCTTCTTGCCCTTCTCTCAGTTCAAATTCGGGAGGAGGGGATTTTAAAATTAAGGCAAATGGAAAGATATACTGAATTCCAGTCTTGCAGTTTAGATTAAAGTCTCTCAGGCTTTACGTTAAGCTGGGAATTTTGTGGAGTTTTTTCTCTTTGGGGAGAATCAGACAAATGTTTGCACTCTACTGAGTTGGGCTAACAACCCAATTGCTTTAAAGCTCAATTATTTTTAAGTTTGTGGGGTGCTTTTTTTTTTTAAATAAGGTTTTTTAAAAAGTATTCATTGATAGTGAACAGTACCAGGTCCTAAAAATTAAATTACTGTATTATCCTAAAAATTAAATTACTGTATTAACCATAGAATGTTAAAGACGGAGTGCCCATATGTGCTTCCTCACACTTTTCTGTCAATGTGTCTCAATACTTGCCTCATCTTAAGGAGAAGGAGCACTTAGTTCTTCAGTCCCTGTTCTTCTGCTGAATCTTTAATAGTGGTCCTAGGAGCAATTAGTTTTCCAGCAAGTATATCAACAAGAGGGACAGATACGGAGTTACAACTAAAGTAAAAATTAAGTGCATTTGTCCACAGGAGCAATCAGTGAAAGCCACTGCTACTGCTTAGGCTCCCAAGGTGTTGGAAATGTTCAAAATGTTCCTACTGTGCTGTTAGGATCAAATTCAACATTAGGCAGTTAATACGTGTGTGTGTGTGTATTAAAAAACAAAACACCTAAACAAACAACAACAACAACAAATAAACAAAACAAACACAAAAAAATCCCCAAAACCGCAACAACCCAAAACTCTAGAGATAAAAGTGATGCCTTTTTATGTGAAATGTAGTTACGGCATCTTTATAACATCTTCACCTAAAATTAGATGTCCTGAGTTTAGTGTTTCTCTTCAGTCTGAGAAAAGTGTGGATTTTCAAACTTACGTCTACCATCTCAGTTTACTGTGAGAGCTGTACCTCATATTATATAAAAGTTTAAGGTACAATAAATCCTTTCTCTAAAGCTGTTAGCTGTGAATCAAATTAAAAGCCTGTATTCCCTTCATGGTTCCATTAATTATGAAAACAGAGTTGCTGAAGTAAATATGGATTTCGTTTTGCTCAGCTTAATTCTGTTATAATGCAGCTGGCTGAATGCACTGTGAGTGGTTAGTGGTGCTTGGTACTAAAATTGTTCACAGCAAGAACTTTTATAGCGAGAACCTTTGTGGGAGGAGGGCAGCATGCAACTTGTATCTCAGTATATAATTTTATATTTTAATAGCTTACAATTTCTATACTTCATTACAGTGATTCCGGACGTGGGAGCAGCCTGTTAGACAGAGCTATTGCTGATAGACGACAGCTTAATACAATTACATTACCAGATTTCAGCGATCCTGAAACAGGTAAGAACTGCATTTGAACAATAAAATAGGTAAAATGGTCTGGCCATAGCTAGATTTTGCATTAGGGTTTTTTTGTTTTATTTTGAAAAATGAAATCATATTTTCATTGTTGTCATATAAGTGGCAATAGACATTGTGCAATGTAAGGTTTTTTTATTTTATTTATGAAGTACTTGCAGACCACGTTCTCTGTAAATTAAAATATCTGCAGTATGGATCTTGCTGAGCTTGGTGGTATTTTCTTATGCAAGGGCTAAAAATTAGTATGCCAAACTAGCCTATTTGCCAAAGACCTATGCTTTTCTATCTATTCAGTATTTGCACATATTTTCTTTTTAAAAGGTAAATGAGAAAAATTTCAGAAAAAATTTAATGTCAAAAAACATGAAGACATCATTGCTAATTAAATTAATTGAAGTCTCTAGTACATATTAAAATATAATTACATAGGTGGGTTGGCTTACTGTAGACATAGCTTTGACATTATAAGCAAAATTTATTTACTACAAATCATATATTCTCTGATATTTTGATATATATACATATATCAAAAATTGTGGTGCACAGGTGCACTACATAAAAGCTAAGATTGTTACGTCAGTAAATATTTACAATATGTAATTTGCCTATTTTAATACATTCAGTTATTGCAATCCAAATTGATATGCCTTAAAAGTCTTATAACCAAAAAGCAGGTGAGCCATGCATTCTGTGAAAATTGCAGAAGGAATTACCATGATGATGCTAGTTCCAAAAACCTTTACAGTATGTTACTTGCATTCTAAATATTGAGAGTTTTTTGTTTCCTGGGTTTTATCTCAAAGCTGTAGCATGCTTTTCCTGGCACCTTTCAGATGTGAATTTCTGCTGGATCACACTTTGACACAAACAGCTTCTGGGAAAGTTTGCCAACCTACAAATTACAATACACTGACCCATAAATTAAGATACATTGAAATGTGTAATGTGTCTATTTGTTTAATATCAGAATTATGCAGTAGAGAAAAATCCAATTTAGATAGTTAACTTCTGAAAGTTAAAGTTGGATCGAATGTTCACTCAATTTTGAAATCATGTAAGTAAATAGAAGGTGTTCTATGCTTGCTATAGTGGCAAACAGTTTTGATTATAAAGATCAGGTCACCTGATTTCAAAGAATTGCAATATGATATGGTCTGAAGTATGGCATAATTTAGCTTGCTGCCCCTAATGTGGAATTTTCTGTCGTCTTGTATTCGTATAATTACAAGGTATAAGATAACATTATATCATTCTATAGTGATCATTCTATATTCTAGTCTACCTCATTGTTTCATTTTAAGGACATAACTAGATTTTAAAGGTTTCATATACATATATAGATAGACATACATACAGATAATTTATTTTATGCCTTCAAAAAAGTGCTGCTTCTGGGAGGGTGTTGTGGGAGTTTTTTTGCAGTTAGTTGTGAGGTTTTGTTTGTTTTTCCCCCATGGGGACACAAAGCTCTTGATCTACACCTTCAGGGTGTCCTATTCTATATCTGCCACACTTGAGAGCATAATGAATTGGTGCTTTTTGAAGACAGCATAGTCCTCAACACATTTAAGTAAAAATGAACCCTCATCCAAAACAGTGAGCTTTTCAAGAAGCTTGCTCCAGATTCAAATCCTGCAGCCAATATCTTGATTGGAAAACAGGATCTATACATACGTTCTGTTTTTTCTAGAAGTTCCAATTTGTCTTTTTTTCTGAATCTCAGCTGTGTTCTTAGAGCTTATGTCTACTGTTAAGGAGGACAAGATGGGAAATTAAAAAGATAAGATCCCTTTTTGATTATTTTTCTTGTAAGAGATAATTGTGGAGGATGGGTTGGGGGTCTCTTTGTTTTTTGGGGTGTTGGGGTTGTTTTTTGTTCAGTTGGGGTTTTTTAATTGTTAATTTTAGCAGAAGAAACCTTGTTGCAATACCAGTACCCAAATTCTGGTAAGGACTAGAGCTTTGTTATCTACTGTATCTATACAGTAGTATATATACAAAAGCTCCATATCCAACGTCTATCCAAAATTCTTCATTCAGAAAATTATATACAAATTTTGCAGAAATTAAAAGGTTATGGTACTGTAAGAAGAAAAGAAGTCAAGCTTGTCATAGTGTTTGAGTGAGAAAACTTCAAGGAGACTGTCAAAAAACCCATTGTTCACAAAAGGTAAATGATATAAACAACAGATGGTCGAGATGTTAGATCTTTATAGGCTGAAAGAATTCATGTGCAAATTCTGTGGATCCCCAGTATTCAGAAATGCAGAAGAAATTTGACAAAAAAATAAACAAATGTTAAAATAGGGGTATGCAGGAAAGGTATTGCAGAAAATCCTCTTAGGACAGAAATGTTTGCTTCCCTCCTCTTTATACAGTATATGCTACCATGTGTATGCATTTATGTGTGTGTATACACATGAACATTTGGAAATTTTCCCCTTCCTAACTTTGCTTGCCACCTATGATGATGATCCCCTTTGCCTGTCTAGTCTGAGTTCGGCCAATCTGAGTACCAAGAAATGAGAGCTAAAATTCAAATCTGAAGTCTTATGTACTTGCAATTTGAATTTTAAAATCCTTTTAAAAATTACATCTAGCTATGTAACGGATGTGAAACATTCTTTTTTCTTAGATGTATCAATTAAGCAGAAGTTGAAACTTGGAAAAAAATAATCTTAAAAAACAGTTTTATACAGAGCCCTTACCAATCTCATTATCAGAAATGATTAAATGATTCAAGTTTAAATTTGTGTAACCTTTGAAGTATAAAAAAAGTGTATTGTGGATTTCTTACAAGGCTAGACTGTTAATTCTAATGCCTTAATCAATAACTGTGGCAAATCTACTTTAAGTTTGCCTTCTATTTCAGCTGGTTTGCCATGAGTGGCAGGCACCCATACTTGTATATACCAATGAAGGAGATAAATATGGAGTTTTGAATCAATCACTGAAGTAAAATCTCACAGGGAGGCAGGCACATTTCCTATCCAAAGGTAGATATGCATATGCAAATCACTTGAGACTCAGTTGGCTATTTTGGTTAAGGTAAGTTGCACTCAAATCTTTTTAACAACAGATTATTCAATTTGTTGTGTATTGCTTGCAGTCCACTGAGTGTATCATAGGAAGAAACAATAGTAGCTGAGTTTTAAATGTTGGTCTTTATTTCCCCTTAAATATATTTTACAAATTTATGCATTAGAACAGAGGGAAAAAAAATCTTTAATTTGTCTTTTTAATCTAGTTTAGTATGGAAGGACGGTACATATGAGTATTTTTTTTTAAGTTGCTTTCAGAAGAAGTGATACTTATTTCATGTAGAAGCCATTTCCATCTTACTGAATGGTGAAATAAATGCTTTGCATTTTTTGGCATCCATGAGTCCATTAAACCCTGTTCTTGGATCTTTTTTTCTTTCCTGTCCCCCCACACCCTTATCATTCTCTTTGTTTCGCTTTTTAGCCTCTGATACTTCCTCATCTTCTCTCTCAAGAACAGAGTCTCCTCTCCAACTGTTTGTATCTTCTCATCTTCCTCATCCTCATCCTAAACCAGATACCTTTGTCTGGCCCCATGCAGCCTCTCCATACTGTGACCAAGTTCCTGAGCCCTGTACACCTTCTCACTGTAAACTGGTTTTCTGTTCCTGATGAGCGTGTTAGTTTGTGCTGTATTTTTCTGATAATCTTCATAACTGATAAAAGGTGTTTAAACAGTTTAAGTTTCAATAGTGTCAGTGAAAGCTGGCCTTTCAGATACACTTCATTAAATACTGCCTGGAGTATTAAATTCAGCCTGGAGAAGAGAAGGCTGTGAGGAGACCTTATTGCAGCCTTTCAATACTTAAAGGGGGCTTATAAGAAAGATGAGGACAGACTTTTTAACAGGGCCAATAGCGATAGGACAAGGGGTAATGGTTTTAAACTAAAAGAGGGTAGATTCAGACTAGATACAAGGAAGAATTTTTTTTACGATGAGGGTGGTGAAACACTGGAATGGGTTGCCCAGAGAGGTGGTAGATGCCCCATCCTTGGAAACATTCAAGGCCAGGCTGGATGGGGCTCTGAGCAACCTGATCTGGTTGAAGATGTCCCTGCCAACTGCAGGGGGGATGGACTAGGTGACCTTTAAAGGTCCCTTCCATCCCAAAGCATTCTGTGATTCTATGAAATACTGAATGGGTTTTAAGAGTTTCATCAGAATAGACTGTTTTATTGATCCCAAAAGAGGTAAAGTTGCAGACATATTTAATACTCTGTTCTCATGACTGTTACAGAAAATGATAGGTGTTTGGTAAAAGAGGTTATTGGCCAAGACTGCTTTTGTAGCATTTACTGCTGTAAATTTTTTCCATTGCTGGCATCTTTTGCCTAACAAGACTCTCCTTTCCACAGAATTTCCTTCTTATCTGTACAGTTTTTAATGACTTAATTTCAGAAGGCCTTAGCTAATTGCATCCAAAACCTTCCCTGAAAATTCACAGGAAGGAAGAAATTGCCTAAATATCAATGTGATTTTCATATTGCAGGTAAGGCATATTGGAATGGTTCAGAGGTATTAGAGCAGTGAAAATCAGCATTATGCTGTTTCAAGTCAAGAGCCATTCTGTTCATTGAAACGATGCCAATTTAAACATGCTGTAAGATCAATTCCCATGTTGTTTGAATACAAACTGTACAGAATGCTGCCAGAGTAGTTCAGGTGGCAGGGTAAAATCAAAAGTTTTCCAGCCATTTCTTTTTAACTCCTTTTCATTTCTGTTAAATTGTCCTTCACTCATAGCTTTATGCATAGCGCTGTTTTTGTCACTTCATTTACTATATCTAATCTTAAGAAATTCATTTTTGACACCTAGCCTTTAACTGATATCATGTCAAACATAATAATTCCTAACAAAACGTAGAAAGTAAATCTTTGAGTATTAGCAAAATTCACTTGTTAAAATAGCTGACATAAGACCGGAGTTTTGAAAACACTAGCTCATATGTAAGCCTGTAACTGGAAATTAAGGAAAGCACTTCCTTTAGACTCCAGGAAATCTGTGTCCTGCAGAAGTTTAACTAGTTGAAGTCTGACTTTCTTCTTGAAGCATTTGAATAGCTAGCTGATTGATTGCTATTACAGATTTGGGTGTCATTGAGTTGAGCTTGCTCAGACCTACTCTATAAACAGTACATCCAAGTTAGCATTAAATTACTTGTTCTTTGCAGAGCTACAAGTTAATAAGAACCCACTCAAGAATGAAGGCAAAATAAAAGAATGCAGAAGCCCAAGCACAGATTCCATTATGTAAAGCCCAAGTTTTGCATTTCCAAGCTACTGTATCCTCAGAGAAAGGAGCTTCCACTATATGCATGAGAAGTAGCAGAACCATGAAAAAACCCAGATAGTGGAGTTCTTTGTATAGTGTAAATCATTAATGAAAGTTAAAGCTCTCTATCTTTGAGTAAGTAGAGGTTTGCCTAGATACTTATAGCACGTTAGTAAAGTTACCAGGGCTAAAAATCTCATGATCTTGCTCAGTTCAATTTTTTTTCTAGTGAAAGAAGCAAAAGGCACTTTGTATTATTGACTTGACTTCCAATTTCTGTTGAACAGGAACATGATTTTAGAGGTGTAGCAAAGGCTCTATGAAAATATTTATTGTAAACGGTAATCTTTAATTTTTTTTATCTTTTGAAACCTGTAAACCTGATTTACAGTTTGAAGATTATCAGAAATCCTCTGGCTTTCTTGGAGTTCTTGGTTTATATATATATAAAAAAATTTTTTTCTCCTTATTACTTTGGATTTTAATTTGCGGTTTGATCTGTTCAAAGGCAATCCATCAGATGCTTACTTTCATGGTTTTTACTCCCTTTTTTCAGTTTGTAAGTAGTATTCACTGTGCAGTTCTATTAATTTCTCAAGGACTTAAATCACCTTTTCCTTTACCACAAAATGTACATGTTTTGTCCATCAGTGGAAGTTTGATAGTGTGTAAAGCAAGGCTGATGCTCTTTGCCCATGCAGTCACCCCAAGAGCTGTAATCTTACGAGATCTGAATGAACTCAACTAACACTTGCATTTAATAATTAAAGAGGCAGTATTCATTTCTAGAGGACTGCAAATAAAGATATATTAGGAAGGTCTTGTATAACATAATGGCCAGCTGCCAGTATGTTGTATTAGAGAAGATTTTATTCCACTTGCTGTTCTAAGGAGTATGTTGGTCCAGAATGCAACATTGCAACTGCTGTCATGAGTCATAATAAACTACTACTTTCTCTTGTGGTACAAATTTTGCTTGTAGAATGAATCTCTGAAGAGTACACTTTAAAATAATGAAATTATGAAAACAAGCTAAATAAGAGAGAATGAAGAATATAGATCAATAAAAATAACTGCTGCTTTAACCAGGATGTGAAATAACGTTCTTTCTCTCTAACCAGTTACATTATAAAGCTGTGTGTTTAGCCTTCAATAGTAAATTATGGGATTTTTTTTTAATTGATTACTTTACTTTTTCATAGATCTTTATGAGGTAGTACAGGAGACCAATTTGGTCGAGAAGAGAAAAGTAAGAAGATATGTAAAACAGCATGTTTGACAGTGACTAAGGATGGAAAATCTTTTTCAAAGAGCTGAGAGGATGCTCTGTGAATGATGCTGTCCATACCTGACTAATACCCCCATGCATAACTTTGTACCAAAAGATAAGCTAGCTTTGTGATTTGTGATTGTGAAAGGTGTCTCAGACACGTAATGAATTTTATAGGAAAAATTGTTAATTTTGGCTAAACCTGCCAATCTATCTTATCAAATGCATCACTTCAGTGATGTATTAGTCCTGCAGAAGGTACTGCCTCTTTGTATCATGCGATTGCTTTTTTTAGCAGTGTTCTCTGTATGTCCCACCACTAATGTTCTTACTGCCAGCTCTGTGTGCATGTAAAGTTGAAAGTCATGGGGTTTTTCCTATTTTGTCCTGCATGAGCATTGCTGTTAAAGCATTTTTTTCTTTATGTAAATGTTGAAACATTGAAAACATGATGACTGTAAACCTGTTTAGTAAAACTCTCTTTTATGGTATAAAAAAAAATCCTGTTATAGTGTTTTTGTCAGTTGATATGACCATGTTTCACAAAGGATGTCAGTCCATTCTTTTACTCATTTTCAGAAGGAAAATTTGATGTACATAGCAAAGTGATTTTGTTTTTCTCCAAGCCTGCATGCCAACTAAGGGCTGATAGACTCCATGTCTTAGTTCACGTCCATTAGGCTATGTTGTGAAGAATTTATTGGGAAATGACCAAGGAAAGAACTGAAGAAGTCGTAACACGCTTATTTACATAGGGTGACTTATAAATCGTATTTAAAAGATGGGTTTCATGTAGACTCTCCTGTAATATTTATCTTAAGAAAAGCTTGAAGAAAATAAATTGAACACTTTCTTGTTCACAGAAGTTGAACTGTAGGTGTAACTTGGAAAAGAAAGGTTTCTGTGAGATGACTTAACTTCTTGGTTAAATTGTGTTTGTACAAGGCTGTGCGTAGGTTTTCTGTTTGAGACTGAATTGAAACATTGACATAACCTTGGTTGTTGCAGATACTATGTTAGTATGGTGAATAGAAACTCTGTAAATTCTGGACAAATGTCATTATAGGAAACTTGAGTGGGAGGTTATACCTTTTTGGTTTAGAAACATTTTGCTATGATTAAGACCTTCTGTCACACTTCGCAGTGTGCGATGTGATTGTGATTCCAGATGTTAACCAATAAGTAATTGAAGTAGTGAATTCTAGATCTTGCAAAGACAGTCCCTGTTTCGCAGTTGGCCTTTTTAGTATAAACAAGCTTCAGAACAAAACTAAACAAATGAAAGTCAGTAGCCAGGATCCATTTTGCTGATATATTACTTTTCCAGACCTCATGCTTTTATATTTCAAAATAAACACTCTTTGCTACTTGTGGTATTTTGGGGCAATTTTTTCTTGATTCTTAAGTGTCACGCTATAACAGCAGGTCTAGAAGTTGTCTGGGAAGAGTGAGGGTATCTGTGTGCGTGAAAGATAAGGTAAAATTTTAAACGAGAAGTTACTGTTACTCTATCTGAGCATTTGAAGGAAGCTACAACTCAGTGGATTGTAACACTGAAAGTGAGGATATGTTTGTGTTTGGCTGAGGGTACTGAACACAGACCAAAGAAATCAAAATACAGATAAGGCTGGGAAGAGCGAGCAGAACTCATGACAAAACCAACAGAGAGCCACCAAATAAGTAGCCTAGCTACACAGGATCTGCGAGGCCTCGAGCAGACCTTAAGATCCTCTCTTTACCCTCAGTTTCTCACAAACCACTAGGTATCTTTACCAGTTGTAATTACTATACATTTTACAATTGTAATATGACTATAAAGATCTGAATCTGGGAACACCTGGGTTAGAACAAGGAACAAATAGTTCAGATAAGTTAGTTCTAAGAAGAAAAGGGTTGAATAAATTTGGAGGAAGGTCGGAAAAAGCTTTTTAGTACACAGGATCTTTAAATGATCTTTAAATGGTTTTTAGTTGTCTGCAAAATGAAAGCCTACTAATAGTGTTTTAACAGAAGGAGCCAGAAATGAGTCACGATGACAGCTAATTGTGGCAATACTAAAGCAGCATGTAGGGGTTTATGGGTTAGAGCTATCAGCATGAGTGCAATGTACCTGAAAGATGCCTGATTGGGCAGTATCAAAAGACTAGTTTTTCAAAAAAAAAGGTAATAGCAAAGATGTAAAAGTGTGATAAAGGATACAGTGGCTGTGCTGATTAGATAGGCAAGGCTGTACTAGAGGTCATCCCCCCTCCCTTTGGAAACTGTATAGCCCTGTGCTTAATATTTCTCTTAATAGCCACTGCACGGAGGGCTTTTAAAGAAACAAAACCAAACAAAAAAGCCCAATCGCTCTTGTGCTCTTTCTACATTTTAAATAAGACCGAAGCATGAAGGATTTCAAAGGCTTGGATTTACAAACAGCCCTGTGGAAGATTACACCAAGTTTCTTTGCGTGCTGCTTAACATTGATCTTCAAACTTAAACCCCGAGAATCCACTTAATTGGGATGTTGTTTAGAGGCAGCTTAAATTTAGTTGATTATGTTGAATAATCTGTGGTATGAGTTTCTAAAACCACTAAGTTACTTGGTCCACGTTGAATTTTAGATTGTTAATGTTCATGACTAATTTAGAATACGTTTTTATATCAGCTGTATTAATGTAGTAAAAGATAGGAGGTAACTATTTTCTAGTAGTTTGACTGAAGTAAGGACACTTGAAGACTATTACTTTGTATATGTGTGTGTTTTCTTCAGAGAACTAATTGCTGCAATATGTTAAGGAATACCTTTTTCCTAAACAGGAAATATAAGCAATTTGAATAATAACACTTTGAAAAAATTTTTCTGGAAAGATTTTTTTTTAAAAAGTTTTTTCTTTTTTCTGCCACTCAGAATAAAGTCCAGGATAGGAGTTAATTGCTGTCGGAAGCACTCGGTATCCACTCCGTATTAACTGTAATATAGGTGGCACTGCAACTCGTAAGAATTTTATCACAGTACAGTTCTTTTTTATACAGAAATTGATGTACAAAAGTTTTAATAATATATTACCATATGTGCTTTATGGTTAAGTACTAGAGGCTTAAAAATCTAACAGCACACTTCCTATATGAAATTACTTGTGGCCTGGCTAGCAGCCAGGGTCCTTGCTTTAAATAATAGAAAATATAGAGCCTTTTTAATACCAAATTGAATACTTGCTTTTCAGAAGGAAAGGATTAGTTGATATCCTTTGTGTCAGTGAATTGCACCTTTTCTTCACAAATTCTTCTGGAGAGATGAGGAGGCTCTTTCACTATTAGTCCCTGGAAGGCTAACAAGTGACAGGCTGAAGTGACGTGCGTTTACAGAAATGGATGTCAGACAAGAAGAGCATTACTGGTGACTAGTGCATTTTTTATGGTACCTTTGCTGGTGTTTTTCTTGGAATACGTTCCACATGCTTCTTGCTTAGACTTCCCTTTTATATTTCTTCAGAAGTTAAGCCTTAAAGATAAGACACACAAAAACTTTAATGAATGTTCAACTCTGCAGGCTGGAGTTTGAGTTGTTTCATCAGCCAGTAAAGGAAAGCAAACTCCAGGGCCAGATGCTGTTTCAGATCTTCACGGCAATTACTTGTTGATAATGACATATGAAATGCTAATTATGTCCTGTGCTGCTTTTCCCTTGTTTCTGCCAGCTAAGGGAAACATGATGCACACTTTCAGACAAACCTTCTCTTCCCACTGATCTGTGTGCTAGGAATTTCTTCTGCTTTTCTGCTTTATCTTGTCACACTTCAGAATGTATATTTTATGTGGCAAATCCCTTCTTCTTAAAATTCTTAGAAAACCTGTGATATTAAGAGCAAAGGTTTCATTTTTTTCTTAACTGCTAGTGATGAGGATGAGCTTGTGGGGTGCAGTTCAACGTATACAGGATTCAATACTTTCTTTTGGGGTACCTGACATTGTTGACCATTACAGATATGCTGATGGGCTTAGAAGACGTCTCATCTGATCCAATATGGAATATTTCACTGTCATGATTTATTAATCAGGCCTAGTCAGTCTGAGACTTTGTAATTTGTAATTATAAAGCAACTAGAGATACATTGAAGCTTAGATGACAAGAAGGAGTGTAGCTTAAAATATTCGTGGTCTTGATTTAAAAAAAAAAAAATCATGACTAAATATGCTGTCAGCAATCCAAATTACAGTTGCCATTAGATATTCTCTAGTCATAGAAGCTTTTTTTATTTCCAGTACTTTGAAAAGGGTAGTATTTGCCAATGCGATTCTAATCTCACTTGTAAATGCTTTGTTTTACAAGAATTATCCTTTACATAGTATGCTTTGGGAATGTTCTTTATGCAAGGGACTTTTTTGCCACAAGGAGTTTTAACTCAGCCTTCTTGATTAGCTAAGGTTTACATTCAATGCAATTTAATTGTGTATTTGTGATGGGGTATGTTGTGATCATCTTGTATATTTTAGTTCTCTTTTTTTGTACTGTTATTAGTCTTAAAACAGTCCTCTAATTGCACTCTATGGAAAGACATAGCAATTACTAACATCAAAGTGCATGCAGCAACCTGAAGATTACAGTGTATGATACCATCACAAACCTTTTTTAGATCGTACATTGCCAGAAAAGAGGTGTCGAGTTTAATATTCATAGTAGCAACCCAAAAACGTGTCAGGTATAGTTACCCATGTTCAGTGTGTTTTTTATATAGTCTTTCAGACCAGTATAAAAGCTTTCATAACAAGGAAAATTAACCTGACATTTCAAAAAACTTCTCGAAAATGGTACATGTAAATTAAATCCTGAGGAGTCTGGGGTAAGACCTCTTATGAAAAGGGTTACGATTAAATGTTTTGTGCAACATGTATGGCCTTCATTCTTTCTATGATGGTAATTTTTTTTATTACTTCTACAGGTTCGGTCCATGCCACATCAATAGCAGCTTCCAGAGTGGAGCAAGCACTGTCTGAGGTTGCTTCATCTCTGCAAAGCAGTGCCCCTAAACAAGGCCCCCTGCATCCTTGGATGACTCTGGCTCAAATATGGCTTCATGCAGGTACTGTGAAAGTAAATTAATTTCTTATTCTTTCTGCTCCCCTTTTTTGCTAGCCTAAGGACTTGCAAAAATCTGCTCATTTCATTCAGAATCTGTTATCACTTGTCAAACTTCTTCCAGGTGTATGTGTGGCACTGAAGCAAGTCAAGAAATAAAAAGCACATTAGAGTTGCTCATGTGTAAGATCATTTATGTAAGATAAGGCAGTAGTTTTATAACGCAGCTGTTATCGGTGGAGTCATATCTTCTGTAGAACAAAGGCAACACTCTCTCCCTTATCTGTGAAGAATTTAGTTTCTGAAGTACCTTGAGTATCTTAGTATTTGGAAATTTAGATGCCCTAATTCCATTGGTTGGAAAAAGATGTTTGTAAGATTATTGAATAGAGTTCCTGCAACTAGAAAAGCTTTATCATTGAAAATAAATAATGCTGCATATGTGGGAAAAAAGGGTAGTAGTAGTATTGAGCAACCTGTCCCTTGCAGCTGTGATAATGAGCTCTCATTCAGTTCTTTTCCTTCTAGCATCATTAATGTAAAAGATCCAGGATTGTTTTTCTAAATGTGGAGTCGTCTTGAGTGGATTTAGTATTGTTATGCTACTTCAAGCCTCAAGCTAAATGCAATATCACAAGTGGATGGTACATAAAATTTTAACCAGAAAATGATGATCCAGTGTATTTTTACAGTTAAAAATGTATACCGTGCAATTGTTTTTATTGATACTTGCATCAGAAAGGTGTAATTTAGAAATCAGTCAGCAATTGTTCTGCTTTGGTCTGTTCTCAGACTTGAGCATTTTTCAGTGCCATAATATTTTTTTCCTTCACATTTACATTCAACAAAACAGTGCTGTCTTTCTTAGCGTTTTAATTTACCTACTTTGCATTAAGAGTTTTATTGTGTGAAAGTCATTACAGGGCTATGGCTCCCAGTTATTAATTTGTGCTTTAGAGAAAAAGCCCAGAAGACTGGAAAGAAAGAGCAATGATAGTGATTAATAATAGTGATCTCATTTCGGGGTGGAAGGGCTCCTCGAAAGCAACACAGATTAGAATAAGGCAAGGTCCACCAGGGCATAGTGTAGTCACCTGCCCTGCATCATGGCATCATTGATTTTAAATATTGATAAACCATCATAGATGGCTACTACAGTAATTGTTAGCATCTATAACGCTGATAATTTCTCAGCCTTCTGTGACAGCTTGTTCCACTGCTTAATTTCTGTTTTTTAATTTCTGTTGGTCATGTCCTGTTGCTGCTTATCCCATCCATGCAAGTGACTGCTACTGTTTTGCCCACAAAGGAGGGGTCTGGACACTCTTTGCCAATTTCTTTTAGGTTCACAACTAGCCAGGTTTGCATACACGGTGGTGGTCTGCTCCTGCAATTTGCTGAACAGTCCACTTTCCACTCTTAAAAATATCTGTCTCAGCAAGTGTGGTCTGTAGGCCATGTTCTTGATTCCCAGCAGGAGGAAGCATGGGTGGGAAGTAGGAGAGAGCTGGGTTGGAGAATGAACTAAAGTGTTAAAGGTCCAGGGGAAGGACACAACAAAGTATGAAGAGTGCTCTGACTCTTTGTGTATGGGAAGCAATGAAAGAAAAAAAACAAGAGATGAAAGAGAGCTTCTATCTGCCTTCAGAGAAGGTACTGCAACCTCAAGTCTACTTCCTCCCCACTTTGGAATGATCCTGTTCTTGATACTTCAGGCTGGTGATTTGTGCTGCATTTCAAAGCGTTTAGGTATCCTGCTATTCAGCTACTTGTCCTGCTACAGTAAATGCCCTGAGCCTTGAGAAAGGCTCTTCACTGTAGGAACATTCAGAATAAGGTTCTCTCCCAGAAGCACAATACAAAGCAGATATTCTGGAATGTATCTTCATCAGTATATATGGGTTACTTGCATAGAAAACAGCGATAAAATTACTTAACGCCTTACTTACAGCACATGTTCTTTAAATAAAAGTGAAGATTTACCATTGGGAAATGGCTTCTTTTTTGAGACTCATGCCACATTTAACTGTTTGACTCCCTGTATGGTTGTGCAGTGTTTTACTTCTTAGTGGTGGTGCTGGGAAATCTTTAACAAGCTTTAAATCTTAAAATACAAAAATTGAGAATTATTCTTCCCGTTAGATTATAGAGATATGAAAAAGTTATGTAAATAAGTTCCAATACATGCAAAACTTAGTGGAATATATTTACGCAAACTAATATATATGATGTGAAAAAGAGAGAAAATGCTTATTCTTATGGATATACAGTGTCATTCCAGATGTCATTAGTGTAAATGAGCAGGGCATTCAGTCCAAAGAAGTTGATTTTGCACGCAGTGACTGGCTTTTAATTTTTCATCTTGTGTTTATTAATGGACTGTTTCAGCCTTTCATTTCTGGGCATACAGTAGAAAATCAAGCATATTTTAAATGTGAAACAAAATTACTTTTGCTGCAATTAGTAGGTTCTCCAGTAACTCACTATTAAAAAACAGACCTGTCCCTAAATGATCAATGGCTGTGATGGTCCTTTGAAAAATGCATCAAGACTGAACTCAATATTGCTACGCAGCTTGATTGGAAAATAGATTGATTTCTCAATAAAATGCAAGTGTAAGTGTTGGAAGGGTTTGAGCCAGAAGTCATTCTTGGCATTCTCTAGGTGGGGACATTAAGAAGAGCACATCAGACTTGGCACCTGGTTTCTCTTCAAACTGCTGTTCCTCTCTGAGATCTTCCTACAAATTCTGCTGGCACTTGTCAGTTTTCCACAACTGATTTATTTGAATTTGCCGTGTTGGTTTTAACATTTTTATTCAGTTTGAAGTCATTGTCTCAGAATGAACAGCTCTCCTTCAGTTTCAGAAATTTCTTGAATGAACTTTCATGCTTAACACCTAGCCACAAGTTCAACTTTCTAATCATTCTTTCATAGTTTTTCAAAAAGCCCACTGTATATTCTGTTGGGGTGGCATAACTTCTGGTAGAGAAAAAGAGAAGTTATTTTTAAAATAACTTTAAACATAAAGGAATTATTTTGTGTAAAATTAATACTTTTAGGAAGGTCTGTTAATAACTGTCAAGTTTCTCTGCTGCAGTTAGTAAGCAGGACAGCAAGATTTAGTATCCCCTACAGTAACGTAAGGCTAATTTATAAGCAGTATTGCAGCCTTTATTGGCCAGTGTTAAAAGCCATTGCTACCATACATGTTTCCCCTCAAGGAATACAGAATTTCAACTGCAGTCTGTTAAATTAGCCAATCTCTGCTTATTTTTCAGCCTAGAATTATTGTGGTAGCAAATAATCACCTACTTCAGTAATTTTTAGTTTCTGCATATTATTTGCTAATAATTACGGCTTTTACTTAGTACCTTTTACAGTCTGTGTAAATTATATTTTTCCTAACTGTCTTTTCACCAAGCAACTTGGGAGTGTGTATTTAAAACTATGTTTCAAGTCTGATGATGCTGGAGAAGGGACAATAAAACCAGAAGAGCTCAAACGGTTAGCATTTAAATAATGCAGTGTGTTTTATACTCACTAAAATCTTGTTTCTTGTGTAGTGATATTGACCATGTAGCTTTTAGAAAAGCACTCAAGAATGAAGTACCCAAAGCTTTTCCAAATTTTCCCATTGTAGGGTTTGAAAAAAAAAAACAACACCAACAAACCTCTCAGTATTATTCACATTTTATGCTGTATGTCCAGCTCTCAAATTATGGCTACAACTTGCTCTCTGGATTCTACCAACAGTTAGTAAAAGTAAAATCCTAGAAAAATTTAATTTCTCCCAAATTTAGATTTTGATTTCAAAATTTTATCCCTTCATTATCTTCCAGGTTTGCTATTCTTTAGTTATACAGTATGATCTCTAACTAGGTGAGGTCGTTCTTTTAGGGTTAGGGGAAAAAACAGTGTTGCTGGATCTGCAATTTCACGTGTTAGTTCTTCATGTGGATGAGACATTTTTCCATCAAAAAGCATTTCATTAGTTTCTAAAAATGTACTGCATTAATCCATGCATCCACATGGACATAACTATTTATGTTCGGTAGAATGTGTTCTGTGAAATCACCAAATCAACTGAGGAGCAAAAGAATGCTCTTCTGGTAAAAAAAAGTCTGTTCTCCCTCCTTCCTAGAGGAATAAAATAATTTACTCCAGCAACCCTACAAAAATCGGTTAAAAGAACCTGTAGTGTGAGGTCATGATCTGACAGCCTTTAAACCAAGATGGGTGGCCTGTACTGTATAGTGAGAAGCATGTCTTTGCTGTTTTGACGGAGCATTTTGATTTAAACTTTAATCTATAAGACTTTTGTAGAGTATCATACAATAGAATGCAGTTACACACTTACTTTGAGGGTGAATTTTTCTAGAGTCTATACCGATGTAAAAGAAAGAGATAACCCAACCCAGAACCTTTAATATCTTTTTCTTGCATTTAGTATCTGTTTATTCCTCTCTTTTCCCATTCTTTTAGCAAGAGATTAAGATAATCCAGCAGGGTAGTGAAATAGCTGTGTTGAAGAGTGTCATAAGAGCTGTTGAAGGCAAACACTTCTACTGTTATTAGTTGTTAATCACTTACTGAATGAACCTTTTTTTTTCCTATAGTCAATCTGATTTAGACAAGTGTGTGTCAGGCTACTCAACTGCTTTCATCAGGAGTGATTTATGTTAAATTAAATATAGCTGCCTTTTTTTTTTTTTTTTTTTAAAGCTGCAGAGTTAAATGTTCTTAGCTTCTGGAGGATCTCTTATATAACATACTTGGAAATATGAACAAATGTTGTCAAATCAGAATGCTGATTAAGCATTTCACATGTTCTGCTAACTTAACTAGAAAACTTTGCATATCAAATAACATTATATTTCTTTTAAACTGCTCTGAAGTAGGAAACTTAGAGTCAGGCTTGCCATTTCGTGATTGGTAGCTGGAGCAATTGCTACTGCTTCCTTAATGGTTGCCATGTACAATTCAGAAAACCCTGTAATTAGTTATGTTCTCCTTCTTACCTACTGTAAGGATCTCTGTGTGCTGTTTTGTTGGGTTTTCTGTTCTTAAATCATACTAGAATACTGGCATGCTCACATCTGAAAAATAAAACTACAATGAAAAAAATCCCAGACTTCAGTTAAAAATAACAAACTATAATGAGTTTCCTGGTGTTTAAAACAGCCATTTAGAGGTTCAAACTCCTATTACATTTAGAAAGTCAACTTTCTTAAAAGAATAATTCATTTAAAATAATTTATGTAATAATTTCTCTTCAGCAGCAAAATTTTTGGAGGAAAATAGCCTTTGCTTAGAATGAAACTATTTACAAATGCAACACATGTGACAACATCTAGTCATGGTATGATGAAGAAAGACTCATTCGTTGGTCCTCACATTCCTTCCACAGCTGAAGTCTACATAGGGATTGGGAAGCCTGCTGAGGCCACAGCGTGTACCCAGGAAGCAGCTAATCTCTTTCCCATGTCGCACTACGTTCTCTACATGAGAGGTCAGGTGGCTGAACTTCGTGGAAATATCGATGAAGCCAAACGCTGGTATGAAGAGGCCTTATCTATTAGTCCTACCCATGTGAAAAGCATGCAGAGGCTGGTAAGTCTTGAGTCCACATTTGTAAGTACTTTTGTCTCAACTTATGATATTGTATTGTGAAATCTTAACTTGGTGTGGGTAACCCATAGCTTATGAGTTTTGGATCTATATTCTTATTAGCAAAATAGCTTTGGAAACAGTGTTTTCTGGCTTTTTATTCTCTCTTCTGTGTTTGTGTTGGAACATAAAAAGTATCTGCAGGCAATAAGACTATTTCAGTCCTAACAGAGACTGCAGAAGAAGTCGTCATTCGCATCTGCCTAATATTCAGTGCCGTTGGGAAACAGAGGTGGCTCATGTTAAAAGAAGAGTTGGATATTGTAGTTTAGAGGAAAGATCAGTCATTCTGCTATCTAATTCCAAACTAAAAGTTGAATTCTACATGTTGATTGATTACTTTCATGCTATGTGATTTCTTGGATTTTTGAAAGGTACGGAATCAATCTGGCCCTCAAAGGAATGTGTAACTTTTAAGTACAAAGGTGCTTTCCCCAGCATAAATGCATGAGTTTGTTTATATACTTCATATATACCTACATATATATATATTTTGTGCTTACTATGTTAGGAATATTACTTTCTTTTTTTAATCCAGTTTTCTTCCAGATAGAGCAGAGCAGAACAGCTGCAATCAGCTTCTTACCCAATCTTTCTGTTCAGAAGTAGAAGCTGGTTTCTGCCTAGGTGCTTATGAATTATTCAGAGAAATTTCTCGTGCATCCCTGAGGGGAACATATGAGACAAAAGATCAGATAGGAAGGCAGCACAGGGAAAGTTTTTTGTTTCACCTTTTCAGCATTTCAAGATATTTGAGCCTACTGACAAATGCCAAAAGGTTCCTTTTTCTGAAGAAGCAGGCAGTCGACCTAAAGCAGTGCAGCTCAGTGAAAATGAAAGCTTATGTTTTTCTGGGTGTTTTTTTGCCTCACCTCTGAATCCACCTTTGAATAAATAGTCTGTAAACACACAATGCTTTTCGGAATGGCTGAGAAATTAGCTGCCTGGAGAGGCACATGAGATGAATAATACTGTGCTACCGTGCTTCCTTCTTATGTGCTTTTCAGTTTGAGTGCAAGCTGGAGGATAACTATTCATTTTATGGGATTGGCCAGTCCTTTTTAAGCATTCTTATAATTTAAAATTTTGTTTTTTGAAAGCTTTTTCTATGACTGTAGACCTTTTCTGTACTAAGATGTTGTTTTGAATAGATTCTGAGAGATTTATGCTGCTTAAATACAAATATGAAAGATAATATGCTATAAAAATAGTTGTCTGTGTAATTCCATGTGGAGAAAAAGTACAAGATTCTGTATCCTTCTTGATCTTTTGACTATTGCAAAACGTATTTTGAGGAGAAAGTTTGCAGTGTTTACTCTTGCCTGTGTGTATAGATGAATAACTCTCAACACTTTGTGTATATTTACCTATTTATTCTAAAAAGATATGATCTCGGTGGCAGGGGAGCTATAGCAACAGCACTGTGGAGGTACTCTATAACAACAGCTGAAACATTAACTTGTAATATTTGTATTCTCAATTCTAAGCTGACAATCAGTTTATGAACCAAACTTCTGTGAAAAAAAAATACCTTATTTTCTGTGATTAATTTGATATTTTTAAATTATTTTATATGGCTTTGTAGCAATGCTTAGAAAGGAATATAAAATGCTGCTGTTTCAACATAACAGTTACCTTAGAGCTTAAATTTATTTAATAGGCTTTTGTGAATTTCTTTTTTTGGGCACATACCAAGTATAGGTCATAATAACTTTATTAAACGCAACAAAAAGGAAGTAAGATTTAAGGATACAAGTTCTAGCATGTAGCATACATATCCAGCCCTGCCTCTCCAAGTAAATTATTTGAAATAGTTAAACCTGAAATCAGTTTTGAAGGATTTTTTTCTTTTAATTAAAATTTTAGAATAAGTGACGTCTGACACTCAGTAAAATTTCCTGATGCTAGTGGTTTAGAAATCTGGATCTTTGATTTGAGATATTATTTGTAGATGTCCAGAGAAGAACAAAAGCTAAATAAAATGTTTGTTTATATTTGTATGAACAAGAATGACTTACTGGGAATAGGCAAGATTTCTCCTATTATAATCCATCCTTTTAATGATGATACATCATGCTGGTAAGAAGGATGAAAAATTAAACTTTGAACTGTACTATTTTCCCGTACAACTTTTGGCCATAAGTCTCTTCAAGTATTTATTCCTGAATATGATCTACTGTTCCTACACAGAAACAACCTTATTAATCTAAATTACTGAAGAAATGTGTGAAGAAAGACTAGAAATTTAGTCCTGTGGCTTGAGAACAGATGTGCTTCCTCCTGTGAGTTGCAGCATGTCCTGTGCTTTGGAGTTTCTGCATAAAGACTCCTGCCTTTGTCTCAAGTGCAGACTCCATATTCTGTTAATGTGGCCATGAAGACATGCTCTTTGCAGAAGTCTAATGTATTATCTGAATGCAGTTACCTTTTATTGGCTGATATGATCTGTTAAAAGGCTATATTTGTCTAAAATTACAATTTTCTAAAGAAACAAGTTGTTATTAATTATGCTGCTATCTCTAAGGTCTTCACTGATTTATTCCTATTTTAAAGATTTGCTAAAATGAAAAACAGGAGGACTTGGCGGTGGTGTGAAAATTGGAGCAGTTAAGAGTGATGGAAAAGATCTGTTCACGAACAAAATGATAATGATAAATGGGAGGGTTTGGAAGGAGAGGTTGACTCTTGCTATATTTGCCTTAGTAATGAAATGCCTAAGACAACGTGACACCAAATGGTGGGGGCTTGATCCACGAATAAATGACAATTTGTTTAGCTGTATTCTGCTTAATTAAACTTCTTGGGAAATGGAACTGATTTGAGTTGTACTGTTACATCACCTACAACGTGAGAAATTCTAACAGAGACCTGGCTGCAGGGGGCAGTGTGTTTGTGTTCATGCTCACTGCTATTTCAGTCCCTTCTGAAATGTTGCGGTTTTTATTAATTAAATCAGCTGAACAAGAAAACTAGTTCTTTCAAAGAGAAATGCTGTTAAAATTCTCTTTAGTTGCTTGTGCGACTAAATTATTCCTCATACAGTTAATGTTTAAGTCCATACATTCATTCACTGTAGTCTGTTAAGCAAGTCTTGGTTTAAGATCCGCCTTGTTCTCAGGTGCTATTTTTTACCGTTTGTTGCTAACTGCAATTTTCTCCAAGCCAGGGGTTATACCAGCTTGCTATTTTGCTAGCTCTGACTGCTCACAAGATATCAGGAATGGAGCAGTAACACGTCAGTATCAATTCTGTGTACTTCACAGGGTGCAGCAGCAAAGCTTTTGAACAAATGCAGTGTCCTTTCTTGTTTTTAAGAGTTGTATAGTGCACTTGGGGAAAACAACGCAAAGTTGTGTTATAAAGGTTTGAAATACTTCAGTGTTTGTGTTCTGTATTTCAAATCACTTTTTATCACACCCAACGAAATTTAAACTTTTGTTTAATTACTAAATTGAAAAATGATGATTCACACTTCAATTGAATGTCCTATATACTTGGTTGTCACCTGCCTGATTTGGGCCAGAATGGATTTATTTGAACAACTTTCTCCATTCTCCCTACCCTTTATCATCACCTCCAGATTTCTGCATTACTGCTGCCTTCCTGCTTTTGTCATTGTTTTCCTCCCCTGTGAAAAAAGAATAAACAGTCTTTTATCTCCTGCAGTCAGAGTGCTGTTGTGGAAAGTAGCCCTTACTGCTGACGTCTGAAAAGTCCTGAAACGGGCCATCATTCAGTAAGGCCTGAAATGGCAATGGATATTTCAACCCATTGTCCAGGAAACAAATCTGTGTATTCTCTCTCAGGCTGAAAATTTCGTAGCTAAATGTAGCTTTGACATGAAATAGTTTTTCCAGCATCTGTATATCGTTATAATCCTAGAAGATTCCAATATTTTTTTGAATATTAAGTAATTCATCATAGCACTTGCCAGTTAATCCTTTTAGTAACTTAGCTTTTAAGAGTAGAAAACTAAAACAGAAAGGGAGAAATTACTTACCCAAAATTACTCATGTAGAAATTAGTTTTCAAAAAGTATTATCTTAAAGAATTTCATTCCCCACTCCACACTTAGATATCTGTTAAAGTTTCCTATAACTATGCAGAACTAAGTCAGATCTCTTAAGGCTTAGATTAACTACGTGTGTTTTACCTCTCAGTTATAAATATATTTTTATTTATTGCTAACTACATTGACTTCTTACATTTTTTTCAACCCAAAGACACTTTGCCAGAAAGAAGCCTGGCAGTACGTATGGGTAGTGTAAGCTTATGAGCCTGTCAAAGATGTTGAGCTGACTGAAAGAAAGGAAAAGCAGAGAAGACTTTAGAAATGTGGGTTCAGACCCTATTTGAAGGGGTCAAGGGAGTTAAAGAAGAGAGAGACTAAACACGGTCACCCAAACTAACTTTTTTCCTTCAGTGAGGCAGTATTCTCTAGTATTTATTCTTCCTTTCATAACAAGGACCTCCTCGGGGAACATTCACTAACTCACATTGTCAGGCCGCTATGCTGTAAAAATTGTTGGTTTAAGCCACATAGGCTTGTCCTAAGCACTTGATGCTGGTTCTTGTGGGTGATCTGTGTTGTAACTGATTACTGTAGAGCTAAATGCTAATGCCAAATCTCAGTGCTCATTTGACTCACTCTCTAAGTGCATCCTTATGCACACAGTGGTTGAAGAATGGAGAAATAACGGTAATTGGTTTTGTTAGATTTGTTAGTAAAATATTGTAGGTTTGCCCTTCAGAAATGTCAAGGTTTAGAAAGTAGAGAAAGCAAAAGATATGTTGAGCCAAAAACTCACTACTCCTTACAGAAGACATTTTACTGTGATTTGACCACTGTCACATCTAAATATTTCAAGTAGGCACATTCTGCGTTCTGAGAAAACAATGGCAGTTCTACTTGTATTTTAACCTGGAACATGCCTATTGAGTTC